TGCGCGCGTGTGCGTGTGCGTGTGTTTGCTGTGTGTATGTAAATATTTATATATACATATATAATAATATGTTTATGCAACAATATACATACATGGCACGATATACAGTTAGATATCTCGAGTATTGTTGAGTCATAATAGTTCATTATTATACAGAATAATTTACTATACTCTATTTATTATGCACAGAATAATGTATAGATCGAGTTACTATCAATTTTTATCAATCGACGCAAGTGTTTTATTATAATTGTCATTTTGCTCTGCGCACATGTTAATCTAAGCAAAAAGGAGTTTATATTAATAAAATTTTTCAAAGTTTTGAGCCTTTATTTGTACCATCTGAAATCATTATGTGCTCACAATATAAGAATATACACTATACATATATAGTAAGATCAAACGGCATCAGCATCCTTGGTTTTTTTTCGGCATCACTTATGAATACCAGCTTATAATCATGGGGATTAAAGCCGTCTGTATTACCGACTAAATCATAGTTTTTGTATGTTAATTATTTTGTTTCTTTTACAGATTCGAAAATCTTTTTCCATGATTAAGGTATACGCATTAATACGTGTCTGTAAAATAGAATTTATGTCGAGAACGACAAGAAAAATTTCGAATTTAATATCTTAAGACAAAATTTTTTTGTCGTTCTCGACATAAATTCTATTTTACAGACTAAGTAAACTCCACCTCACAGGCCAGTATTCATAATCTAATTCTTATACTTGAGATTGTCTTAAATACAGTCTTAAGGTGTCATAAGCCAATCAATGGGCCGTATATTAGCATTAAGATATTATTTAAGACGGTCTTAAAATAAGAACCGATTATGAATATCGGCCACAAACACGTATTAATGCGTATACTTTAATCCTGGATTACAGATTCGCATTTTCGAAAAAAAAAAAAAAATTTAATAATAAATTATTTATTTATATGGAAATACCTATCAATATGGAACTTATAGGCTCTAATTAATAAAATCATGGCATGATTACTCGGACGAAATATTTATGTTAATATCTTAAATCTTTATTAATTGTCGGTAATGTCATAGTTCTTCAATTATCCCCAGGATCCAATGATAATCACGAAAATTGGCCCAGGGTCGACAGTCTTTAATAGTATCTCATCTGTGTCCGAGTTGAAATACCGATAACTTTCCTATTGGCTATTTCGACCGCCATTTTCGATCTAGTTGTTTTTAATCCAGTAAGCGTTTAGTATTAATGGTAATAAATATAGTACGGTAAGTCTAAAATAGAGGACCTTTGTGTCTACTTTGGTATATATATATATATATATATATATATATATATATATATCTAGCTTTAATTCACCATGTTATACTCAACACCGTTGGTCTGTTTTCTGTTTCTGCACTAGATTGCACTGGCACTCTCTTTCTCACTTTCAACAAACATATACCTATCTCACTTCACGTTCCAAAAGTGTACACTAGTTCAACCACAGAAAACAAATCTCATATTATTTGTGTCTCTTGTTGGGAAGCTCTACATTTCTGCGAGAAAAATCTAATTTTTACTAAGTTTGAGATCATTTTGAATAATTTGAATTATTCGTTACAAGATGGCTGAGAACAAAAATGTGTTGTTTGTAAGAGAAAATGGAAATGGAAATGTACGTCCTTTTCGTACTTAATTCGATTATTTTTATCGTCATCACTCATGTTTAACCCTTTTCAATTTTTGCATTTTGTTTTCTCATTTTTCACATGAATACATTCTGAATATTCCTTTAATTTTAAATGTCAAAGATGTAATATACAAAAATACATTCGAAGAGTATACAGGAATAAAAAAATTTCTTGATTTTAAGAAAACTATTTTTGTTAATAAAAATCTTGATTTGGTTAAATTTTTAGTTATATAGAAGCGGGATAAAGAAATTATAAAATAATAAGAATTTAGATGTAAGATAATAAAAATAAATGTATGTTAAAATTATGTAAAATACTAACAATTTATAGCATAGTGAGAATGAAGATATTTGGGATGATACTGCATTAATACAAGCATATGATAGAGCTGTAAACTTGGCCAAGGAAGAAGTAGCGAAACGTATTGCTATGGACATGCAGGCTCAGCAAACAAAACACAAGTCAAATTTAAAACATTTAAATCATAATAGAAAACCTTTAAAGGTATGTTATATTTATGTTATATCAAAAATATATTCAAATCAAAAACTAAATAATTTTAGACTCTTTAAACTTAAAGTTAATTACATTAATGGAACAGGCATATAAGAGTCAAGCTCGATAGTTAGAGCGCAAAAATCATTTATCCTAGACGTTCTTCTATAAATTGGCAGATGTCTTTCTTATAATTCACATATAATTCACAAATGTTTCGATTCCCTTCCGAGCCATCGTCAGTTGTACAATTCCTCTGCTTTCTCAAATCCCTTATGGGGAAGTATTATGAATATCGCTAGTTGTCAAAAATATATTTATTAGAAATATTTATTAGAAATATTTTTGATATTCTTGCTGCATTGTAGAAATGGACTGTTGGTGCTCCTTGCCGTGCTGTGTACTCTGTAGATGGAGAAGTATACGAAGCTATTGTATCAAAAATTTATCCAAATTCTGGCATGTGTACAGTGAAGTTTGTTGGTAACTATTTTATATCCACATAATATTTTACAATGTTCTTGTATCATAACTATGCAATATTAAATAATATTTGGTTAATCAGTATATATAATTAGTATATACATTAAATACTAATAATAACTAAGATAAATTAGGTATATAAAATTTCATGCATACATACATGCATGCATATACAAATGTGTGCATTTATGTAAAATAAATAATGATATTTAAAAAGTACATATAATTAGAGTAAGTTAATTAAAACAATTTTTAGTGGGATAATTTTTACAGCAATTATTTTTATATTATTTGCAGGATATCAAAATACAGAAAAAGTGGAGATAAATTCTCTTTTGGAATCTGAAGGATTACAAAGTCAAATTGCTCAACAAAAGGATGCATTAGCGCAAAAGGCTGATGAAGAAATTGTAGGTTCTGACACATCCACCCATTTTAATCTGCAGGATTCCAAACAAATTAATAGCGAAAAAATGGATTGTGATACAGAGGATCCTAGATCATTTAAACATAATGCTATACCTGGACTTGAATATTTTAATCCAGCGATAGATGCGATGCCACCCGCGCCACCCTTACCACCATTAATGGCTAAGTAAGAATAGTAATTTAGAGATTCAAGAATTTTTTCATTATCATACTATATAAAACTGCTATATATATGTTATAGGTTACCCGAAACTGATGCAGATGCATTGTCTAGTATGTTGATGTCATGGTATCTAAGTGGATTTCACACAGGTAACTTAGAAATATCAAATATCAGTCTGTTATTTTTTAAATTTATTTAATATATTATTTAATGTATTATGTGTTTAAATAGAGAATTTCAATTTGTTGCATATTTAATAAAAAGTTTGGAAATTAATCTTTTTATAGCACATCGATTGAGCAATAAATTTCAAATTATATATGTGTGTATATATATATATATATAAAATTAAAAATTACATTGTACAATTACATGTATTTATTGAAATAGTACACTATCAGATATTATTTTTCAAGAATAAATTTTAATTTGAATGTAAACAGAGAAGAAGTTTAGAAAATTATAGAAAAAACAACTTTTAAAGTTATTAACAAATACACTATATATATACAATTTTTATACCATTTATATTTTTAAATAATATATATTGATATAATGTCATAGATTTTTTTATGTAGGTTACTATCATGGATTAAAGCAAGCAAAAATTAATCAGCAGAAGAGAAGAAACTATCAGTAGTAATATAAGATATAATTATTTTCCATAATATACATATTTTTACATTTTAGTTTAGATATTGTGTTAATAAAAAACTTTTATTAACAAAATCTTTTAGACTTATTTTGTAGAATATTTTATTAGATTATGAAAAATTAATAAAACGTTTGTGAAAAAAACATTTATATATGCATATATGTATGTACATATATTCTATTTGTAAAATTTGTATTATTTTCTTTATATGTTTCACAAATATACATATATATATGTATACTTATGTATATTTTATATTTTAATTTATACAATTAAAATGTGTATATCATTAGCTAATACAAATTTTACAAATATTTTAAACATATTTATAAAATATCACTATTTTGCAGAAAAAAATTATCTCATAGATGTATGTATTTATTTTGTGTTGCAATCATTTGTCAAAACAGCTACTTTATTTTTTTTTCTTATTTTGAGAAACCAAATTCCTCATGCCATTCCATATATTGTACATTCATATGTTTAGTAATGGGTTTTACTTTGGTTTTAGCAAGCACAATATGATTAATTGCACTAATTAGACCATCATTTTGAATATTATTCACCGAAATCGTTTTAGCTTCGAGACTCGCCCAAATGGGCCGCAATTGACTGATCCATGCCTCCTTGCACAGCAGTTTCAAATCTGCGCAAGAATATCCTTCGGTTTCTTTCGCAAGTTTGAGTATCTCCGGCGAATTATACAGATCATCGCGCACATAAGATTGCAATATTTCTAATCGACTAGTTTCATCGGGTAAATCCACAAAAATCCTTTTTTCTAAACGTCGCAACAAGGCAATGTCTATATTCCTAAAAGATAAAAAATATTTTGAATTTAATCGTGAGAGTTTAGAGAGAGATTAATTAGAACAAATTATACGCTTGTGTGAATAAATGAATAAATACGTGTATGTGTGTTACCATGGAACATTTGTAGCTGCTAGTAATACTACATTTGTGTACTCCATTGACAATAAACCGTCCAATCTAGCAAGAAGTTCAGCTCGAAATCTTCTAGCAGGTTCCGAATTCGATGAAGTGTGATCTATATTTTTCGTAGTCGTCCAATCGATTTCATCGATAAAGATTATCGTTGGTGCATAATGTTTAGCAAGATCGGTGAGTACCTACATATACCAACATTTTTTTTTATTCCATTTTGTTTCGGTGTATTCAAACTTTCCAATATATAAGAAATCAACTTGTAACTCATAAGAATATATGAGTCCTGATGATCCTGTGAGTAATTTTATGTTTCATAATCTCATTTTTTACAGTTTTGTTCTATTCATATGAGCTAATTATTGTATTACGTCTAAATATTGTAATTTTTTATATAATTGAAAGTTTTAAAACTCCATCTGTATAACAATATTTAACAGTACGAAAACTTCACAGAAAATTCTTTTTTAAGTGTGTGTTTATGTTACGGGTTAATAATAAACAATGTAGATTATTATTTTACGTTCATAAAAACTTGTATCGAGAATGAAAAAAAAGTATCTAATAGATACGATACATATAAATTTAATTTTAAAGACATACTAAAATTTTATAACTATACTATTTATTTATCGATTTCTTTTACCTTTTTATCTTTTTTTTTAAACTTTAGAATCTAAAATTTAGATGAATATTGAAAATAGTATTTATTAGATGTCTAGAATTATGAGTGTCCATCATTATCGATTGTAGAAATAGATCGTGGAATATCTCGAAATTAATCGTAGACATATCATTCGACTTACGCGAATATATTTTTCTGAATCTCCTCTCCATTTGCTGATAACTGAACTAGAAGTGATATTAAAGAAGGTCGATTGACATTCGGTTGCGACTGCTTTCGCAAGCATCGTCTTACCTGTTTGAGGGTGTTTTTTATCAATTTGTCAATGGGTGTTATTGTAATTTTCGTAATTATTACATACCAGTTCCCGGTGGACCGTATAATAATACGCCTTTACAAAAACCGAGTCTCCTATTAAACAAGCTTGGATATTTCATGGGATAAAGTATGGCTTCTTTTAATAACATTTTGCAATCTTTCAATCCTTTTACATCATCCCAATGAACATTCAAGTTTTGTTGCACTATTTCCTAGAAATTATTACTTATATATATAATATTATTGTATCATTTAGACTCCATTTTATTTGCTCTCTTGCCGTACACACGGATGATAATTATAATGACTGATTTTTCTTTTGATTTGGATTTGTTCATGTAACGAAAGCTTATACTTTATTAGAGAGAAAGTAAATGTAATTCCTGCTCAAAAATTATAGTATGCATCGCATTTTTTTTGTTTCTTACCCGTGACATAACATCTGCAATTTCTTTTAGTTCAGAGCTAAGTGGATAGAGATCGCCGATAGGTTTCAGTAGTCTCTCGTTATCGGTGAAAGTTTCGTCAGACATTGGCACTTGTATAGCGACTCGATCGCCATTTTCCGCGGGAAAAATCGGCGTAACCGTCATACCAAGACTCAACTCATTCCATGTGGAAGTGCTATGTTTTTGTACGACTTTATTTTTGACAATATTGTTACATTCCTCGGTAACGCGACTATCCTCTTGCTTTGAATAGATCTTCGAAACTCTTTCTGCTCTTTTGTTACTGTTACGAAAGTAGACATAATAAAGTATCTTCAATTTTATCGAATTTATCGAGTTTATCGCAAAGAAATTGGCGTCTTTCGCAAATTAGGAAATACAAGTAAAGTTAATTAAATTATCAATAATTCGTTGATAAAATTTTATATTGAATTATGTTGTAAAATATTACTTAATAATATTATTTCTAAAGAGGAACATATCTTTGAATATAAATGTAGATATATCAATAATTATATCGTGTATATATATATATATATATCTGTATTTTTTAAAAATTGTCAAAACGATTGAATAATTTGCTGGGTTTTACGATTCTAAATAATGAATTATATTTCTTACACATTTGGAGCTACGTTGCCAACTTCTATCTTCTTACACAACTTAGGATACTTATTGTACTTGGCGTAATGGTAATCGATATATTCGAGAATGATAGTTTCAAGATCAATATTGTCGCACACGTGAATATCCCGAGAGAGTTGAGCTTCTTTGAAGAGACTTTCCGCTGTACTGGAATAACTACGAGGAACACATCGATGCAATGTGCATAATTCTCGTTTTATAACTATTTATGCTATTACGTAAAGTTTACAGTACTTTTTGAATTAAAAAATTATGTAATATAATAAAATTGATTAGTATTTATTTAAAATATTGAAACGTTTATAATTGAACTAGAAATTTTCAAGTTTTTATTATTTTGACCAAATATTCACTCACTCATGGTGTTATTATTTTTTGTATATTTATTGTTTGTATGAATACAACACACGATTTTAACATTAACGTTTAATTGATATATGTATTTTAAATAGTTGAAAGTATTAATTAAACGAGTATTAAACATAAATATAAATTTTTCCTTACCCTTGCTCTCGTAAAAAAGCAGCGATAAGATAAACGAGATGACGCCGACGTTCTTGGATACGTTTCTCCTCCTAATTTACAATTAACATATGTATTCGTCAATGAATTCATAATTCAATATACTTATTCTTTTTGATCATAAATAATTTGAATATCATAATTGATTTTTAAATCTGAACTTATAGAGTAATTCTTTTACGTATCATTGTCGATCATTATAGTGATTATTAATTAATGCTTCGGTACCTTAGGAATATAAAGTTAACACGATATTTTTTTCAATCAGCGCACTGTATCGGCAATCATATAATTGCCAATAGTCATTATGATCGACTGAATAATAAAGTCGAATACTATACATATTTTTATCGATCGATTTAATATTACACAAGCTATTATTTTTAATTTCTCTCACGTGTTTTTCGCGCACAAACGTACCACTGTCGAAAGGCGCCAAACTATCTTGGAGTTTTGAATCGTAATGTACAAATACGCTCGATATGGGATGCGTTCCGATTGTTGCGCATGAAGCGCATAATGCATCGTTTGTCCTTGTATTCATCAAATAATAAAGAAGGATAAAATGATATACATCACTAGCTCGGAACGCACCTATAATCTTGTCTAGATTTCTAGGATCTAGACAAGATTGTGGGTGCTTTCCAAATTACATGAATTTATCCTTACCTTTTCGCGCGCCAAGTGAGCGACTCGTCCGGCTGTCGCGTTCAACGACAAGCAGTCGTTCATGACCCTTGCTCGGAAACCAAATATTATCGGAGGATACTGGAATTTTCCTTTCCCAAGACCGACGTTATTACTTCTTTCGCTTATCGCTTATATTTCTTCGATTGGACAGTACACTTTTGAGGCTTGAAATACGAGCTGGTAGGCCGGTACAAGACGGTAGACGATATGAAAGTATCCTACGGTTGCCATAGCAATAATTGCGATCGTGCATTCTCATAATTTACCATGGCGGAATTAGACACCTGATCGCTTTCTCTCTCTTCAACGTCCAAATATGTATTTCATTTCATAAATTTTATAAATGCAAAAATTTGTTGGGATTTCAAGCAACGCGAACGGACCTCTTAAGAAAAATGAAAGTCGCGCTAGCAGACTTTCGGGGCGCTTTTTGATTGGCTGTGCACATTATGCGCAATACAACACTTTGCCTAATGTAATACTTATATGTATAATGATAATTTACAATTAGTAAGTTTCTCGTCAAAGTTATGATATAAAAAGACATTATTATCAAGTAAGTTAATCAAAGAGATGAAAGTATTAGACTTACACGTTGAATCACAAGCGTGGAGTTAAATGGAGTGCAGTCAAACACGATTGTGATCGGTGCGCAAGAAAGAATAATGATAAATGAGTAGCGATGGAGAGATGACAATGAAATTAATCTGAGAGAAAATACAATATACATATATATATATATATAAAACTGTGATGATGGAAATTAAAGCTAATTTTATTGACCCAAGTGTGGTATATCAG